TTCTAAAATATTGCAAAGCAATACTTCCTGCCAGATCAAAATGAAATCCCTGGTAATATATGCCCCATGATTGCTGATCTCTGTTTATGACATTTATCTTTATGAATTCAGAGTTCATAAGGGAGAAAGGCTAAAATACTATTGGCATTATCTCCCTCCTCTTCATGAAGAGAAATGTCAGTGTCATAATAAAGATGAGATTATCTTTGATAGAAATACACTCCTCTCTATATTATATTATGAAATTATAAATTTTAAGAAATCAGCCTAGTTTTAAAAATGTCCAAAAATATCTTCACTTTTATTAGTAGATAATAGAGTTATAGATATTCAAAATTATTCCTATTTGGTTTTGGAAAATGAATTTTGGACTGCAGGATGAATTTGTGTACATTTGCTATTTAGGGAATTCGTATTGAGTGAGATGCTGAGGCCCTTGTGAAGATCTACTCAGGAGAAATTCATAAAGTCTCCCTATTTTCCCTCTGGTTCTCTGATCAGCTCCAGTATGCAATTAATTCCATATTTGCAAAAGTTGCCATCACCTTTCAGTCTTAGGCAAACCACATTTGCCTTTCTAAACTCGCTCGTCTGTCAAGCTCTCAGCTTCCCTGGGGTTAGAAGAGATAAATAAGTGTTTTTTTTGTTTTGTCTTGAAAAGACTTTCTGGTCGGGAGTAAGAACCTGGAATATCTTTCCTTCTAGGTTCTGCAGGCTGCATATGTAATCAGGGAAGGTGACAAGGCAATAAGAGAGTTCAAAAAACGGGGCCACTGGGAGACAGCTTCATGCTTTTCTAGGGGTGAACAGTGGATCACTGCTCGCAGAACTGGTTTGTAACATTTGCTAGATTGCTATTATGTATACATTCAAATCCACATTTCTGGTTATATGTCCATTTCTGCATATCATAGGGTTTATGCCATTTCCAGTGATAGGAAAGATCCTAAGGACAAGAGAAAGAAACAGATGGATAAAGACACACATGACTGCATGAAATGGCAGCATCCTTCACATGGGGGCCGACTTTCTAGAGGCACTCTGACTTCAGCTAGCTGAATCCCTTACCACTCATTAATGACCAAAATCAAAGATACTTCCCAGATGTTTGAGACCCATTCAGAATTAATACATAAATCCAAAGTCAGTATGTGAAGGAAACACTCTACTATTCTGTGGAAAGCTAAGTATTGTTATGATTTCAAAACAATGAGAGTACCAGTTTGGTTTTCCTACTGATGGGCATCTTACCATATTTTTCCAGGCTATTTCCCCCAAGCATATGCTTTTCATTTGCATCAGAAGTTCTCTCATTGACATGATCATGTCCAGTGTTGACTCCAGCTGGTTTTAAACAACGAACCCACTGACTAACTGCAGGAATAACGTTTCACTCAGGCAGAATGACGATTTCCTTTTTCTTTTCCCTTTGCTTTTGTGACTTAAGGAGGGAAACAGTGATATACAGCTTGTGTTCCCAGTGATGTGAAATTGAAGCACATAACAGAGAGAAGCTAGGTATAACAACGGAGACAAAGGGTTTGTAAAGCATAAAGGGATCAAAGGAAAATGTCAGTGAAAAATAGATTGAAAATGAAAAGAGAGAAGTGGGCAGAAGAGGCTATAAAGGAGAGAGGAGCACCCTATCTCTAGTAGAGGAGGGTGGAACGTGGGGTCAGAGGGTGGTACGCTGAGGACATAGAGCCATCTAAGAGAGGCTGAGGGTAACAAGCCGTTATTTTATTTTATTTTATTTTATTTTATTTTTTTGAGACGGAGTCTCACTCTGTCGCCCAGGCTGGAGTGCAGTGGCCGGATCTCAGCTCACTGCAGCTCCGCCTCCCGGGTCTACGCCATTCTCCTGCCTCAGCCTCCCGAGTAGTTGGGGACTACAGGCGCCCGCCACCTCGCCCGGCTAGTTTTTTGTATTTTTTAGTAGAGACGGGGTTTCACCATGTTAGCCAGGCTGGTCTCGATCTCCTGACCTCGTGATCCGCCCGTCTCGGCCTCCCAAAGTGCTGGGATTACAGGCTTGAGCCACCGCGCCCGGCCGTTATTTTATTTTAATAGTCCATTGAACAAATCGTTCATTGAATTTGACTTGCCAAATGAACACCATATATCATATTGTAATGAGGAAGAAAATGAATGTATTCAAACAAGACTGGACCCACAAGATGAAGGAGGAAATAGTTAAGATTGTGAAGATCTAGATCGCTCAGAAAAATGGAGCATGAATCAGTATTTTCTGACTGTCACTTTCAGAACTTGTCCACATGAAGTCAAGATGGTAAACGTCTTATCTCATAAAAAATGCAGGGAAGTGATTTACCATCTTCAGTTGCTGAGGACAGATGGTCATATATCATACACAGCAGGCATTATCAGGAGATAAAGTAAGCAGTACCTTACATAGCTCAGTTTGAGGAATATTACAGGACACCTTATTTCAAAATACCCACTTACTTAAAGTCATTCCATTCTTAAAGCTTTGCTACTCTGGTTCGTGATGTGTTTTCCTTTGATGTTAGCACGGATTGATTGACAGTGTATTACAATAAAGTACTATGCAGCAGAGAAGGGAAGGGTGAAGGGAAAATGGGAGGAATCCACTTAGAAAAGTACAGAGTTTCCTAGGACTGAGGAAGGGTTCCAGGTGTTAAATATTTTCCTTCCTTTTTTTAACCTGAATAGATCGTTGTCACTTTCCTTCTCTTAATGAATATTTTATAGGAAAACCATTATGTTCAAGATTCTCGGCCGGGCGTGGTAGTTCACGCCTGTAATCCCAGCACTTTGGGAGGCAGAGGCGAGTGGATCATGAAGTCGGGAGTTTCAGACCAGCCTGACCAAGATGGTGAAACTCTGTCTCTACTAAAAATTTAAAAAAAATAAAATAAAATAAAAAATAGCCAGGTGTGGTGGTGGGCACCTGTAATCCCAGCTACTCTGGAGGCTAAGGCAGAGAATGGCTTGAACCCAAGAGGCGGAGGTTGCAGTGAGCCAAGATGGCACCACTGCACTCCAGCCTGGGAGACAGAGTGAGATTCCGTCTAAAAAAAAAAAAATTCTCAACCAGGGCCAGGGCCATTCCCTGCGCACTCCTCCCCACCCCCAACTGATCACACAGACACAGACACAGGGTACATTTGACAATGCCTGAAACATTTTTGGTTGTCATACTGGGAAGGCAGTGCTACTGGCATCAGGTGTGCAGACAGCAGAGAAGCTGCTCAATATCCAATAATGCAGGGGACAGCCCTCAAAAGGAAGGATGATCCAGCCTAAACTGTCAAAAGTGCTAGGGTTGAGAAACCCTGGCCTCCTAATACAGTTGTGTAAATGAAAGACAAATAGCTCCAGTCACATTCGCATGATCATCCATTCACTCATTCGCAAACATTTAGTGAATTTCCCCTATTTTCCAGTGTGGTAGGTACTAAGATGCAAAGATAAGATACACACAATCCCTGCCTTTAAGAATGTGCCACTTTCAACAAGAATGACACCATCTCTGATACGAACATTCAGAGCAAAGCCAGATGATTCCCAGATGTGCGATCAGGGGGCACCAAGAAATGGTAGCATTTAAATAGACCGGTATTAATCACATCGAGGAGTGGGGAGCACTGAGGAGGGGGTTAAGGTAAGGTCCAGCCAGGAAAGAGAAACCGGAGGGGCAATTCATTATGCAGAACCAGGGGCAAACCCATGGTACAGGATCAGAGCAAACAGTCTGGAGTGGAAAGGATGAGAGGTTACATTGGAAGGGCAAATGAAGCCAGATTGCATGATGTCAAAAAGCCAGGCTAAGAAAGTTTTGTTGCTGTTTGACTCCTTTTTTGTTTTTTACTACGTGTTATAGCAAAGGGAATCCATGAAAGGTTTTTTGGACAGAAAATATCATGATCAGAGACATGAAGTTGAAACACTTTCCAGGCAGAAGTGTGTGAGTGGTGGCCCCCACTGCTTCCTGAACAGGCTGCCTGGAGAAGGAGAAGGAGCACCCACTCCATAAGGCCAAGCTGCCTTTTGCAGACACTGATCTTGCTGCTTATCTCCTATTTCCTTCCTTTCCTCGCTGTTAGGATTTCATCTTTGTTACTGGTTTTTGAGCTGTGACTCTAGGACTTCTTAATGACAATTAATTTTGATCCTCACATCTTAGTATCAGAACCACCTGGGGAGGGTGGGGCTAGGGAGACAGGATTGAGGGGCTACCAAGGGTGACGAATATGTTCATTGTCTTGACTGTGGTGATGGTTTACGGTGTGGGCGTGTGGTAAAACTTCCAAATTGTGTGTTTTAAATAGGTGCAATTTATGTCAAGTATACTACAACAAAGTTGTTCAGGAAAACAAACAAACAAAAAAAAGAACCACCTCTAAGGCTTTTTATAACGTAGTGTTTCTGATTATGCAAATTTGGGGTGAGGCTTGAGATTTTGCATTTCTAACACACGTTGGGAAGCATTGCTCTATGCTGACCTGGATAAGCCATTTCCCTTCCTCTTCTGCTTGGTTTCCGGATTTCCCTGTCAAGATTCCTCTTGACGGGGTCTTGGGCACATGCCGACCTTACCTCGTCAACCACTATTCATCTCTGATCAGTGCGGTCTGCCTTCTCCCTTCTCCCACTCTAACGAAATTGCTCCTTCAAGGATCGTATATGATACTGATCATCAGCATTTGTACAGTACTTAGGCGCCAACTTTGTTCTAAATACTTCATATGTATTTTAACTCATGAATCCTCGTAACAGACCATGAGATAGAGACCATTGTAACCTCAGTGCTGGCTGCGGAGTCTTATTCTTAACCACTACTTGTCTTATTTGCCTATCAATGGCCTCTTTTTATTTGACCACTGAGAATGGAGAAAAAGAGCAAAGCCTGACGTTCCAAAACGGGCCTGGCGCTCACAGCTAGTGTTGGGAATAGCACTCAAAATCCTAGGCAGACTGAACACTCAAACAAAGGATTCTTAGCAAAGCAATTTTACCTCTACGCAGAGGGGTGCTTCTCCTTGGCCAGTAGTCATGAAAGCACACCTGAACAAAGGGTCATGGAGCCTTTATTCCTGATGTAAGTCCTGCCCCTGTACCCTCTCCCCATTGGCTGGGGTTGGGTTGCACAATCTGAACTAATCCTGGTTGGCCAGACATTTGAACTTTTTTTAGATAAGGTGGGCACCTAAGGGAGAGAGGGAAAAGGAAAAGGGGAAGGGGTGTCTGCAATGAGCTAGAGAGCTAGTCTCCTTCCAAATAAGGAAAGGAATGTGAGCTGGTACTGATAAGCCTGGTACTGTGGCTTATAACAAAGGCAGAAAAGAGAAAAAGAGGAAAAGGGGTGGAGTGGGGAGGGGGATTACTGTGAATTGAAGAATAAAGGATTGGTCAGGCTATTTGAAGAGAAACTTCATCATATCCCACAGCTAAGATGTGTTAATTTCCTATTAGATGTAAACAACTTCGCAGAATACCAGCTTCAAACAAGCTTACCCTGAGACTGTGGTAAAATGAGTCAAAGCAAGGCCAATTTGTCATTTTGTCTAAGAACAGATAAAAGTAAGGTCACTGTGTCACCCACAAAATACCAAACACCCCTCTCCCAGCCAAAATGACTGACTGCTACTTTACCAATTACAATTTTATCCTCTTTCTAACTCCCTCTCTATGCATAAGATTTATTGAGACACCCAATCATAGAATTGTTGTACTCCTGAAAGTACCCAATTCGGAGTATGCCCCTGCTTCCTCAGACACCCTCTAAATCACCCAACCAAAACCCAGATCTTTTTTTTTTTAAGATGGAGTCTTGCTGTGTCGCCCAGGCTGGAGTACAGTGGCGTGATCTAGGCTTACTGCGAGCTCCGCCTCCCAGCTTCACGCCATTCTCCTGCCTCAGCCTCCCAAGTAGCTGGGACTACAGGTGCCTGCCACCACACCCGGCTAATGTTTTGTATTTTTAGTAGAGACGGGGTTTCACCGTGTTCCCCAGGATGGTCTTGATCTCCTGACCTCGTGATCTGCCCGCCTTGGCCTCCCAAAGTGCTGGGATTACAGGCGTCAGCCACCGCGCCCAGCCAGTCCAGATCTTATAATAGGTTGTCACACACCTTACTGAGACACGCCATAATTATGCTGGTGTGTGTCTTCCCTGCCTGCAACAAGAGATAAGCCCAACTTGTTCAACTCCAAGTGTCTTCCTGGTAGCCTTTGTCTGGAGGGCACTGCCACCTCTGCGCCACATACAACTTTCCACTCCTTGAAATCCTCTTCTTCCTTGGCCTGCAGACATCATTCTCTCCTGATTCTCCTCCTATTCTTTTTTGACAACTTCCAGTGATTTCTACTTCCTGGTATTCAGGTCCTTGTGTAATCCCTTCCCCTTGAGTGTGGGCTAGTAGTGAATTGCTTCAAATGAACAGAATACACTGAAAACAATAGAATGTCCCTTCTGAGAGTAGGTTGCAAAAAGGCTGGCTTCTGTCTTACTTGCCGTCTCTTGCTTTCTTACCTGCACACTCTTGGGGGAGCCAGGTGCCATATTGTGAGCTTCTATACGGAGAAGCCCATAGTGTCAAGGAACCCAGGTAGCCTCCCAGCTACAGCCAGTGAGGAACTAAGGCCATCGGTCCAAGCCTTGGAAGAACTGAATCCTACCAACCACCATTTGAGTTATGTTGAACTGGATCTTCCCTTCATCAAGCCTTGAGAGAACGGTGACCCTGGCTGAAACTTTAATTGCAGCCTTGGGAGAGACTTTGAAGAGAGACATCCAGCTTACCTGTGCTGGATTCCTAACCCACAGAAACTTAAGATAGTAACTTTTTGTGATTTCGAGTCTCTAAATCTTGGGATAATTTGTTATGCAGCCATAGATAACAATTACAGATCTCCATAATAGAATGATAATTTTTTTCCACAGCATAGATTTAGCTGGATCACTGACATAAACTCTTTCACAGTTGACCACTGCCTCTAGGGTAAAGGCTGACCTGACCCGTGATATATATCCTTTGCTTTAGTCCCAGTAAACTGCTTATAGGGCTCAAAACATGCCAAGTGCACTGTCTCTGTGACTTTGACTTCACTGTTGACTTTCCCTGGATGTAAGTCTTCCCAAGAGCTCCCACACTAGAATTAACTGCTCTTCCTCTGGGGTTCCAAAGCTCAAAGTTATGGAGGCAGGAAAGGTAGAGAAAACACACAGAAATGAGGAAATAAAGAAAAATACATTTAATAACACAAGAGACCACGGCTAGAAGAATGATGGCAGAAATTCATTGGCTCCAAAAAGAAGGGACAGTGCACAGCAGCGAAGGGCGGGCTTGCCCACGAAGGGGATGGAAGACGTCCTTTGTGAGAGAGTCAGTCTGATCCTTAGGTTGGGAGTTACATTTGTAGCTGAGGGGAATGATGGTGGAAGCCTTAGGTGAAAGAATGCGGTTGCTGTTTTCACCCAATCAACATAAAAAGCCCGAGGCACAGGCAGATGCTTGGAGCCCTGCTCCCGTGTGGGCGCCCATCATGCAATAGCCTCTGGGTACATTTACCAATATTATTTTTAGATGTCATTTTTGGCTCTCAGAACGTTTGGCTATCAGAGTTACTTTACTCTCTACCCTTAAATTAGGTTTCTTCCCTGCGGATGTCGGGGGTTCTAGGATGAAACCGTATCAACTGTGCTCAAAATTGTTATTAAATTTCCTTTTCAGAATGTTGTTTTTATTTTTCCTGGGTGGGGCGGCCATTTGGTGTAAAGAAATGAATAAGGGAAAAACCTTTGCTAAAGGTAGCAACTGTGAGAAATATTTAACGGTATGCAAATTCAGCAGGCAGCTCCCCCACTGAAAGAGAAGGGAGGGGGTTTATTCTACCCTTAAAAAAACGAAATGCATTAAAATGCAGTCATTAACTGGTGGAGTATTCTAGAATTGGCAGTTACCTACTGAGATTTTGGGTTAAGTTTCTCTGGGGGTATAACAAAATGGTACATCCTCATGGGAAGCAAGAAGAGAGGAGGACTTGGAGCAGTGGAGCACAGATCTTAGCAGAGTGGAAAGAAAGGAAGAGAAACGCCTTCCCGGCATCATTCTCATGGAAGATGGGGAAAAGCTGCCTGTGGCAGAAACAGGGAGAGCAGTTCCACCTGCCAGGGTTAGCCAGCGGCCAAGTGTTACTCATTTACTCTGCAAGAGTTTTGATGCTAGCCCCGGCAGGTTTGAAAGAAGCATTCTAAGCCCTGTTTAGGATGTGGGTCGTTAATGACAGTGACAATACATTTAAAGGGAATAAGACAGCCACGTATCTGGCTTTCACCGAACCACAGAGTTTTAGGACCCAGAATAGGCCTGAGCGCTGATAATATTTCTGTCTTTGATCATCAAAGGTCATAAAGAGGCTTTTTAATATGATAAGGCATGCCAATATTTTATATGGTTTATGAATTTCTTGAACTAATGTATATGAACACAGTGTTGTCATTTTTGCTTTTATTTCTATTGCTTGCCTGTTTGCCTGCCTACCTTTCTTTCTCTCTTTCTTTCCTTCTCTTCCTCTATCATCTAGAAAACCGGCCAGCGTTCCCAGGAACCGCAGGACCCCAGAGATGTTCCCAGCTGCATGATCCCAGGCATCAGCTGAGGGCAAGTCGACCTCTCTAAAGCTTTGAGCTGTGCAGGCTCCCGGGCTGCCTCAGCACCTCCCTCAAAGCAGAGCCCCCCCCACCGGCAGTTCAGCCCATCAAGCCTTCCACCTACCCAGCTGCCTCAGTCACCCTCAGAGTCCATGTCTCAGTATCACCACCATTGGCCGGATTGTTCTGAATATTCTCTAATCTCACCTCATTCCCACCCATCTCCATCCTCCCAAATTATTCCAAAATGTCCCTTTGCAATTCATAGTTCATCATCAATAAAGTCCCACTGTATCTTCAACCTCTCACCTAAATATTCCATTCCGCTTCTTGCTCTAACTCAGGAGTCGGAAAACATTTTTTTTGTAATGGGCCAGATAGTAAATATTTTAGGCTTTGCAGCCACATCATCTCCATTGCCATTGTTACTTGAAAGGGGTCCCAATCCAGACACCAAGAGAGGGTTCTTGTGTCTTGTGCAAGAAAGAATTCGGGGTGAGTCTGTAAAGTGAAAGCAAGTTTATTGGAAAAGTAAAGAACACAAAAGAATGGCTATTCTATAGGCAGAGCAGCCCTGAGGGCTGCTGGTTGGTTATTTTTATGGTTATTTCTTGATCATATGCTAAACAAGGACTGGATTATTCATGAGTTTTCCAGGAAAGAGGTGGAATTTTCCCAGGAACTGAGGCTCCCTCCTCTTTTTAGACTATATAGAATAATTTCCAGGTGTTGCCATGGCATCTGTTAACTGTCATGGTGCTGGTGGGAGTGTCTTTTAGCATGCTAATATATTATAATTAGTGTATAATGAGCAGTTTTGTCGCCATCTTGGATTTAGTGGGTTTTGGCCAGCTTCTTTACTGCCTCCTGTTTTATTGGCAGCGTCTTTGTGAACCGTGTCTTGTGTGACCTGTATTTTATGCCGACCTCCTATCTCATCCTGTGACCAAGAATGCCTAACCTCCTGAGAATGCAGCCTTGTTTTACCGAGGTCTTATTCAAGATTGAGTCGCTCTGGTTTGAACGCCCCTGACACAATTACTTAACTTTGTTATTCTAGCACCAAAGCAGCCATAGAAAATATGTGAACAAATGAGTGTGGCTGTGTTAAAATAAAACGTTATTTACAAAACCTGGGGGTTGGCCACACTTAGCCCAGGGGTGGTGGTTTCCTGATCCCCGTTCTAAGGGAAACCTTAGTCTACACCCCAAGGATTGTGCTTCCCACAATGTTCAGGTGAAGGTTGTTTTTCCCCCGTAGAAACTTCCTAGATCTGAGCTATCCATCACCACTCTCTTTGTTATCTCCTCTCATTTTTTGATGAATTGAACACTTGAATCACTCCGTTTTCAGCCCTACCATCATTCTTGGAGATTTCAGAATTTAATAAATGTTCCATCTAACACCCTGGTCATTCAGTTCCTTAAT